ACACACACACTAGAGTAACGACTCAAGGTATTAGCCACACATCCTCCTAAAATCGCAGTCAACCCGTACATACATACATACATACATACATACATACATACATACATACATACATACATACATACATACACAGATACACAATACATACATATATACATATGTACACACTGACAAGCACACACGTTGAGAAGGGAAGGACGGACGTGCAGCACGGGAAAAGGGAAAGGAAAACGGGCAATGTCAGCTGCTCGTGTCCTGTCAACGTTAACAAAGATGATCTCCCCTGCTTCCCTTCCCCCTCCTCCCATCCTTCCCACATCCTTCTCGTCCCTTCAACCCGCACAACATGCTCAACTTCTCCTTCCCCCCTCTCCCCGCTCCCTCCACCCCCCTCCCCTCTCCTCGCCTCCCTCCCCCTCCCTTCCCTCCCCCTCCCCCCACCTCACGTTGAGTTCTTTGGCCCGGACGGTCGCCAGCGCCTTGAACGACTCCACCAGGCCCCTGGCCTCCTCCTCAAGCGCGGACGCCTCAGCCTCCTTGCGCGTGTTGCCCTCCGTGGACAGGTAGTTGCCGAAGGAGCGGCTCACGAACTCACGAGCCTGGAGAGTACATGATGCAAGGAGCAAAGATGGGGGCCGGGTGGGGACTACAGGACACCCCGGCATGGAGGGAAAACCAGGGAAAACACAACTTCCCCCTGTCGGCATACAAAGTTGCAAACTGTTGCTGGAGCCGCAACGAGGACGTGATGGCCCAACCAACAGCGTGACCGAACTCGAAACATTCTTGGGGCCATATCGTGTCGACGAGTTCGTGTCAGGAGTCGCCCTCAGTTAGCTGGTGTCCTCCCCCCCCCCGCGTTATGTCGAACAAGGGTGTTGCTGTGAGGTCCGGAGGAGGACGTGTTGTACTGCTGGCAACTCAGCAGTCACCTCGTACAAGGAAATTGTGTAAACCGACTACCGCATTCTAGCTAGATGGAATTGCCGCTAATGCCCGAAGCGCATGAAGGCAAGACGTGCATGAAGAGGGCAGCAAAGATGGGTGGAAGGGGAAAACGGTCGAGGGAAAAAAACCACACACTCGTATCCTCCCCGCATTTTCCCGCCGCCCCCCCCCCACACACACAGACCCATAAACTCCCCACTCACGTTTCCCCCGATCTCCACACTCGTGAACAGTTTAATTGAGAAAAGACAAAGCTGGGTTCGCTTTCCATACACCTTCCGCCCCACACTCCGTAAGCCTCCGGTGATCCGGAATCCTAGGAAGTCCCCCGCCCAACCCTGGCCCCCGCTTATTCCCATTTCCCTCACCCCCATGCTCCGAAGCCACATCACTTCCCCCCCTCCCGCCTGCTACCTGGTCCAATGTATTAACGGACAGCAGATTGAGCACCAGCCCGTAGCTGATGGAGAACTGGCTGACCAGGGGCTCGGGACCCCCACGGATTATCTGCCAGGCCTCCTCGGCCCCCTCAAACCTGACACACAACAACAACAACAACAACGACAACCAC